TCACACAACAGGAATATTAAGCCTGCGTCTTCTGCAATGTGTCACTGTGTAATCTGTTACATGGTTACCAGTGTTTTGAAGGAATCTGCTGCCTCCATATTGAGGGTGGTAATGATGCACTGGACTGCACTCCTAATATTCACTGCTGTAAGAACTTCAATCTCACACAATTCTAGTTACCATAGTGAAGGAAGGTTCAGAGTGTTCCCTCGATGATAAGCATTTTTTTTCTCTTCCTTACAGCCAATCTGACATCAGCTATAATGATGTTACAGAAAGAAATTTCATTATCAACCCCATTCCAAATCTCTATCCAGCCATTATGCTTCCCCTGCCAGTAGGCTTTCTTACATTCCCTTCCACTCGTCTAACTATTCTCTTCACAGGAATGTTGGGACTGATGACCATGTGAAACCTTTGGTAGTGACAAGTGTTTTATGCTGGGTGCATATCCCAGAAGGGAGCTGAAGAGAATACAACAGTTGACAGAGAGGACGAGGCCTTGAGTGGCAGCATCCATGTGACTTCCTTCTGTACGCTCAGTATAGTACCCATACAAGCAGTTACATTTTATATCTGCTCACTTGTTTGAATGTTTCATGCCATCAGATCTCACAATTAATTGTTAATATTCTTAGGTTCTGAATACTGGGCAATAAATACAAAACTCTATTTTACTCCTGTGGTATTTAAACTCTTATAATGACTGCTCATGAAATTTAATGGCTATTCTAATCCCACCTGGAACTAATCAACACTAATGTTATTGCTTAAAAATAGGATATCATAAAATATGTACCTGCCTTTTATAAATTAAAATAATTACTGTTTAGGAAGGTTCAATGCTGAATAGGCAAGCACAGAACACTACACTCTAACAAATGATAACATTCTAAATTGAAAATTACATTGATATTCAGGTGTGGGAGGAGAGGCAGGCTAAACAGTTGCTTCCATTTGGCAGGAATGCCTCCTGAGTCAACATTTAAGTTAGTGCTACTGGGAAGCTCTGAGTGATCGAAAAATAACACAGGTCATACTAACAATTTTCTTTTCACACAAAGAGAGCCTGCAAAACATTTATATAAATATATATGTGACAACATTGAAACAGTTCAATACAGTGTTAACTGTACCACTTGAACCACCTACCAGCTGTGTCAGCTGTGCTTAAGCCCTTCACAGTACCACCTGTGTGACTTTTCGGTCATTCTGTATATACACTTCATGCAGCTCTTGGTGAATCTGCCAGCAATATTTTTGTTATATAACACACAATGTCTGATATGACTAACATGAAGTGGTGACACTTCCTTAGAAAGTTAAGAAACATACCCACAGCGTAACAATTCTGGTGTCTTCACTTCCTTTTATTTATTTTAAAAGAAAATTAGTCTCAATATTAATAAAGCACCAGATGTAGCAGAGCATTCAACTGTATTCTAATTAACCCCTTGAAGCCTTCCTTTCTGAGCACAATGCAAAGCCCAAGATCAATGTTTAAGATGGACACGAGACTTTACACAGCTAGTGCAAGAGTATTATAATAGCAGAGCCAAAACCAGGCACTGACCTTGATATAGTTGTGTTGTGACGGTCTTAACACATTGAGGACCATTCGCATGATATCATGCTTTTGGCTTTTAAACGTGGCGGACCGGTCGCATAATATCATGATTTTAGGACACGTTAGTTTGTAACACACCTTTCTCTNGGAATGCTTAGTAGGCAGTAACTTGACCTCGCTATTTTGTTCTCCCTCCAAAGGAAAATGATCTTTGACCCTTCAAGCTCTTATGTACCAGGCAGGATGTGAGTGCAATATGAATCAAGGACAGAAGCAGTTGAAGACGAAGTGATCTCTCGGAGAACAAGAAATATCTGACTTGTTCTCCGATGAGCTATCTGACGTTCCTTCTGATAGTAGTGAAAGTGAGACAGTGGCAGTGACAGGGGACAACAAACAATTGTGGCCACAGACAATAAAAGTGAAAGTAGCTCCAACGAAAGTGCAGGTAGTAAAATTGTGGGTACAGCCACATGGGGAAAAGTAGACAAAATGCCTACTGGAAATCCAGGGGTGAAACAAATTCCATCAAGTGTCTGAAGTAGCAGAACTGTTTTCTGGAGATAGGGATACTCGTGTTGTGAATATGATTTCCACAATTCACAATTTGATCATGGTTGATGTTCAAAAGAGACATGGACGAGTAAAGAAGCCTATCTGTATTTCTGAGTATAATATGTTCATGAAGGGAGTTGATAGAGCCGATCAATACTTGGCCTATTATTCTCTTCCTAGGAAAACAATAAACTGGACAAAGAAAGTTGCCTTGTGGCTTATAAATTGTGCCATTTTCAATTCATTTTTGGTTTACAATACTCTAAACCGATTCAAAATTGAAATACAAAGCATTTCTGATGAATGCGGTAAAGGCCTGGGCTACAGACCAGATGGTGGCGGCAGAACAAGAGTCAGACACAGACTTAGTGCGACCGGGCCCATCGACTCCCACCCCACGCAGGTCTCATGTGGAACCCCTGGGCGACTCTAGGGTGATATGTGGAAACATACCCTCGTGAAAATTGTGAAGAGTGAATATTCCAAGCGGAAGCATCCTTCTAGGCAATGCCGTGTTTGCGCAGTTCACAGAAAGGGGAATATGACTGCCTACATTTGCAAGCTCCCTGTAATGCCACTTCATAAAGGGGAATGTCTCCAGAAATATCACATTCTCAAGCACTTCTAGGAGCATTGGTAAGTGTTCTCCAAAAATTTTAGTTCATAAAATTAATTTTTAAAGTGAACAGTGCACAAGTTAGGATAGTAGGTTTAATAATGCCAGTCCCCAGGGTGATTTAAATATTTAAATTGCCGGTCCTCAATGTGTTAATAAAGAAGTTATGTAAACATACGAGTCTAAATTATTGTCGGGATTTCCATGGCCTATAATTTTCAAACTGGAAATAATAAAATAAAAGTGCTTATGGAATAGAGAAATGTAACTTAAACAGTTTGATTTGGCAAACTCCCCACATTGATGTCTGGGAAAAAAATTTGTCATACCTCAAAATGGCGACTGTTCAAAAGAAAGGACTTCACAGAACTCAATATGGAAAACATCCACCTTCAGATAATGGTATCCGACACTGGTTAAAGCAATTTCAAGAGACTGGTAGTTCTACACCGAAAAGGAGTGGGAAGACTGAGCACTTTGCAGGAAGATGTTGATAGAATCCAGGAAGTGTTTTCTCGAAGTCCACAGAAATAACTATATGAACTTCTTTTGCAGTTAGGTATACCACAGATGACTGTTTGGAGGGCTGTTCACAACTGCCTTCACCTCCAAGCCTACAAAGCGCAGACTGTGCAGGCTTTAAAGCCAGATGATAAACCACACATGCCCTGACAATAATTTAGAATCACCCTGTTGTTACAGCACCCAGGCTGTCTATGACACACTCCGTTTTGATTTAAAACGAATAACAAGTCTACTGTGATGTTGTGTACCATGACAATTCTTCCTGCAATGAAGTACACAAACATTAGGTTCCAAGGGGTTAAATATACATGTACATAAATGTAAACCTATAAATTCAGGTGGGAAGAAGCTTCATTGAACTACTATCTACAACAAGAGACTTCAATAATATTCATGTTCATTTGGAAGACCACTGCTGAATGCTGAATACACAAGCTCAGAGAAGTATACATAACATAACAATTCTGAGGTGTTCACTCCCTTTTTTATTATCTGAAGCAGCTGTAAGACTTAATCAAAAAATGTACTGAATATCAAATGTGTGCTTCCCTTTCTCTAGAACCCTGGACATTTTTTGCTTGAACACATATTTGTAAGTTACACTTGAAATGTGTGCAGAAACACATGCAGCTACTAATGTAGTGTTAATATACCAATTTTAACCAAACTGGAATCTCTTGATTTTCAAAAAATTCCCCAATATCAAATTTCATGAACATCTGTTCAGCAGTTCTCAAGTTGACAGACAGAGCAATTTTAACAAGTGCCATACCAGGAAGCCAATGCTACTAAAATGGATGCACTTTATATTAGTTATGTTTCAGGTTACATCATTACAGTCAGACTCCTCTGCAAGTAAATGTCACTGTTTTACTGCTTCAGAGCACCCACATTCACTGGTCTTGGTAACCATAAGACATATATCATACTGATTCATGAAGTATAGTACACACGAATCAGTTTTACATAACATTCCAATTTCTTAGAAAATAAATTACTTTGTTATAATTGTATGACTTTCAAAGCTAATAAAACATAATTCTTAAACCACCTAAAACATTTTTTTAAAAAAGAATATAAAATGCCAGTGTATAAAACATAACTAATTTTTGAATTGTTTCATTTTTGGTCCGTTACACTATCAATCACAAAGTCAACAGAAAGTCTGTCGAGTGTAATCGAGTGTAACAATTTTTTTAGGTCACTTCTTTATCACCTCTGCCTTACATGTTTCGGCTTAATAAAACCATCATCAGAGGCACATAGTACAATCATGAAAACACTGTCGTTGTTTAAATGTACACAGTATATATGCTGCGTGGACGCTGCTACAATATGTCGATGTGTAAAAGCACAACACTTGCTAGGATTATTGAATACACGTTCAACTCTCACATTCCATCCGAAATTGCCCTCAAGTTAAAACGTCAATGTTAAAATATTTAAAAGAGCCTAACATTTTACTTCAAATGTTTTAAACTTTTAAATATTTTAACATTGACGTTTTAACTTGAGGGCAATTTCGGATGGAATGTGAGAGTTGAACGTGTATTCAATAATCCTAGCAAGTGTTGTGCTTTTACACATCGACATATTGTAGCAGCGTCCACGCAGCATATATACTGTGTACATTTAAACAACGGCAGTGTTTTCCATGATTGTACTATGTGCCTCTGATGATGGTTTTATTAAGCCGAAACATGTAAGGCAGAGGTGATAAAGAAGTGACCTAAAAAAATTGTTACACTCGACGGACTTTCTATTGACTTTATAACTAATTTTTTTCACGTCCTAATAATATTCTGTAATTACCCACCACTTCAGTCAGCACATCAGCATTCAAGATACATAAAAAAGCTGAGAGTTCAACCAGAAATGACCAACTGCAAACAACACGATCTTGAAATGGACAGGAATATGACACTATGCATTCTGGTAGATTACCAACATTTCAGAGGAACCTGTGCCTTGTACATTCAAGGCCAAGGATGGTGATAGCAGGTTCCTACCAAATGTTGATAATGATCTACCAGAATTTATGATGTCATACCACAGAAGATGGTAATCTGCACAGTCAACACCATGACACCTCTAATCTCACTTAGGCCAAATATTTATATGTACAAGAGTATGGAATGTCTTGTATTACCTGTCACATCTCCATAACTTGACCTGCACTTTAACCCACAAGGTTCAATATTTTCTTTAAAACTTAACATAACTTTTGGTTTCACAGGTATAACTAAAATCTAGTCTCAACATGACTAAAAATATCGACATGAAAGAGGACCTCATTCATGCAGCATCTGTTCCTTCCAAAACTTCTAAACATTTTGTCCTCAGATTCCTTTAAGTACATTTCCTGTATCTTTCATTACAATGTAAGACTACATCTGTTAATGTGTATCACTCTACAATATACACAGCATTCCTAGCAGCCAAGGAAATACTGACCAATAAACTGAGCACCAAATGGAAGGTAATGCAACATCATTTCTACAATTCTTTGCTTAAAAAGGATTCGTGTATAAATGTTAAAGAAACAGTATGATAGGGCCAGGAAGTGTTTTGTCATTTCACTTAAAAAATATGACATAACACAATCCTCCACAAGGTCATATGCTTCTTGAATTAAAGAAAAGAATACTCATAACGGATATACACCCACACTTTTGACAAGATTTGGGTACTATGAAGATCTCAAGCAAATGCTCACAGATGAAGTACACCCTCGTCCTTGACTGCTGTTCCACTTCCACTAGAAGTCAGGTGCATTGAAGCTGAATCATCTAGATTTCCACAAGTGAGATCAACAATCTCGTCCTGATCATATCGATCGTCATCAGAACCAGTTGTGGCAGCTGAATGAGTTGACTGATGTGAACCCGACGATAACTGGCTCGTGCGCGAGAATGAGCCTCGACGTGGTGGTGCCAAAGTGCGCTGGTTTGCAGGTTTCACTGTGATGATCAAATTGGAGCTGTTCGCTACCATCATGTCTGTGACCTGTACAACACATTTACAAATGGAGCTTTCCCTACAGTTACACTCTAATTAACTAATTAACTAACTTGGAGACCTTGAAAAACTCACAGTCACTAACTAGTTGAAAATGTCCATTACTTATGGCAACAGAAGGTTTGTTACCATATTCTGAACAGCCTTCAGGATTCATATCCCTTGATGTTTGGTGAGAATGAATGGGAAGTTCGAGTAGTGTTGCTAATTTATCATTCTGCAACTCCTGTCAGAATGAACTATGTAGGAACTGAACTGAATTACTTCATATGAATAAATTAATAAAATATGAACTGTAACCTTATACGAATTTTTTCCTTAACCGTTCAGCGTGGTTTGATGTGTATGTTTCGTCAAGGTATTTAAATCGTCTGCGGGGGTTCGACGTCTATGTTTCGTCCAGCTGCACACCTATGTTATAACACCCATAATAATTGATGGTTTTGCTGTAGATTGTTAGATTTTTCGCTGGCCTGTTGTCAGAAGAACAATATATAATGAGACATGACTTTAGCTGCGTTAAGTCATCGTTACATATGCCTGTCTTGCAGCAAATTCGTGTTGCTTCTGGTAGAAGTTTCCTCATTCAAACTGTTATGAATTGCGTGTTTTCTTTCCTATGAAGTTATAAACAGGAGGGAGTGATATGTGCTGTCTTTATAATATCATACTGCCCTGAGCTGGCCACACTAACACACTCAATTGGAATTCTTAGAAGAGGGATGTCCAAATTTTATTCTTGCAAGATCGATTGATTTCGCACAGTACATAGCAGCCAGTTCTTAGAAAAACGCCACAAATTAAGGCAGAACACTGTGGTCACCCCCTGTGACGATACGGGTGTGTGTGGGGGAGGGAAAAGAACTCATTCCTTCATGTATTATCGCTCCAGTTGACTCCATTTTATCGTACTGACCTTGGTGGTCGTTTCGAGGGATGACCATAAATATTTTTTTGAGCCAGCTAAGCTCTGCTTTTGTTCACTACATACCAGCCAGTTCTTAGAATAACTTCATGAATTCTGTGGTCACCCCTGGAATATAAAACGCATAGCACCAGCCACTTGTTATGATAACATATAAAGGTTGAATTTACTGCAGCTGATCTGGCAAGCTATACGGACTCACGGAAAGACATTTCCTCGTATTCCCCTTTGAGAAGAACGCAAGACCGCACAGAAGATGTTTGGTTTACGGAAAAAAAGAGCCAAATGAGAGATACGCAGTATTGGTGTGGTGAATGTGAGACAGCGTTGTGTATAGAAGAATGCTTCAATGCGTACCATACTCTGCTCAAATTCTAAACCACCTGCTTCCATTGCCGAGATACCGGGCGCTCATATTATAAGGCAAGGTTATAAAACCATCTTTTAAGATCATTTTAGTGAAAGTTTCATGCTTCAAGGCGTACGATACACTGCTCAAATTCTAAACCAACTGCTTCCATTGCCGAGATACCGGGCGCCCATATTATAAGGTAAGGTTATAAAACCACCTTTTAAGATCATTTTAGTGAAAGTTTCATGTTCCTATCTCATATAATTTAAGAACAATGACGAATACATCATTTTCGAGCAAAATTTAAATGGTCGGGTGAATATATTACCGCCGGAGAGACACGGCAGCGGAATTTAAATGACCGCACAAAAGGGTTAAGAACAGGTGTTTACTTTTTTTGACAGGAGGGAATTCACCTGTCATAACATTTAAAAACAGTTCTGAGCAAAACATCTTTTGGGTAGTCATCTAGGTTCCTCACTCTTTTCAGAAATGTTTATATGTTTTCTGGGTGACAGAAACACTTTCTCAGTACCCTCTTCTTTTCCCTTTATTGCTTCCATGCATAAGAATTAATTTTATACAATTGCATTCTTCTGTAGATACAAATGTAACCACGCAGCACCTCATTGCCTGATCAAGAATTTTATTTTGCATTTTTCTCATTTATTGCCCAAACAAGGAGCTTACTTTTGCCTCATTATCACTGTAATGACATAACATCTCATTACCTGATCTAGAGTCTTGCCATTGACTTCAATACCATTTACTTCTAAAACTTCATCATTGACAGCAAGGAGTCCCGTACTTTCAGCCAAGCCTCCGGGCACTAAGCGTGAAATGAAGATACCAGGCACCTTCTCCAGCCCTGCAGGTGTAACTCGAACGGATGTACCATCTCGTATGTAAAATCCTAGTGGTTTATCTGAGCCATGCTTCAACAACCTCACCCTGCGACATGTCTCAGGCACAATATCCACATCAATTATTGCTGATACCTGTAAAGAAAATAGAACCTTTTACTCAATGTTTTCATTTGTAAACTCTATTCCCATTTGCCTTTCTTTAAATAGTGAAGATTTTTCACAGATTTAGCCTACTTCCACTCATTATGGGGAAAAAAAAACTGACTTATAAGATCACACAGCATGCACATTCACACCTGTGTATTTCGACTTCTGATCAAGCTGACTTTCACAAAGATTGGTATGGAACTGTGTCATCACAGGACACACCACACAGCTTTTCCCACAATTTGCCTACAGCCTCACAGGACAATATTTCATATGAGGGGGTACCCAAAAGAAACTGAACTTATTTTTTTTAAACTTATTTATTCAAATTTTAAGCACAAACCTTCAATCCCCTTCAAAGTACTCTCCACTTATACTAATACACTTGTCTAGTCTTTTATTCCATTTTTCAAAACATTGTCTAAATTCATCTTCTGAGATGCTTGACAGCGCCTCCGTCGCTTTTTCCTTGACCTCAGCAACATCAGCAAAACACTTTCCTTTCATGTCTCTTTTCATTCGAGGAAACAAAAAAAAAGTTTTGATCATTTCGGGACTCTTCTTTCAAGCACAGCATGCTTGCACGCGACCTTGTTTTTGTTCAGCAGTCAGCAGTCGTGGCACGAATTTCGCAGCCACCCTTTTCATTCCCAAATCTTCTGTCAAAATTTGCTGAACTGAGCTCCAAGTCACTCCCAACAGCTTCACAATTTCTTCAATGGTCCGTCGTCGATCTTCCTTGATGATTTCACGAATTTTTTCAACTTTTTCATGTGTTCGGGCCGTGGAAGGACGACCAGAACGAGGTTTGTCATCAATTGACATTTCACCATTTTTGAAAAGGGAAAACCACTCAAACACTTGAGTTTTCCCCATAGCATCATCCTTGTACGACGTTTTTGACATTTCAAGAGTTTCTGTTCCACTTTTCCCAAGCAAAAAGCAGAATTTCACCTGCACACGCTGTTCACGAAAATCAGCCATTGCAAAAATGACGATCACACAAAACAGTTGTCACTATAAACTCTGCCGAAACTAGTCCTTACCTTCTGAAGCAACGGTAGTCAGCTTATCGACTCAGGAATGTTAGCTCTATGTGCTCATAGCGGCAAAACGCGGTACTACAAAAGCTCTGCCCACAAAAAAATTAGTTCGGTTTCTTTTGGGTACCCCATTGTATATTAATATTAACCCAATGTCAGCTACTATCACACTGTCATGTGACCTGAGCGTGGGGAAAGAACACCTCTGTGCACCTCTCTTTCTGGATACTTCCTGACTTCACCACCTCTTTGTCAGCTTCTAGATTGTTCTCTGACATTAAATGGCAGGAGTATCACATTTTCTTAAACAGTCTGTGTGCATGCTGGTTTTCCCTTATTCGCCTGTTGCAGCTGATATGGGTCATGACAGAGACAAAGGGTTAACACAGGCTCATGGTACATACGGGCAAAGTTCATCAAACTATGACTTAATGTTCCATATTAATGTCTTCTTTTAGCATGACCATTAATTTGTAACTCTTTAAAGCAATCCGCTTACCTGTCTAAAATCATGTGGATTTGAGATACAGAGATGGGCCTTGGGTCGTCCAGGTGTTCCCAGGATCGAGGAGATGAGGTTGCGAGTCTTGTGAGTACCATATCCATTTAACTCCTCCAGGCTCTCTCCTTTAATGAAACATATAGAGGCGCAACTCTTCAACTAGGAACTGAATATTACAATAGAAAATAACAAAAATAATTCAAGAACAACAATACAATACAACAATAAATGAGAAATGAAAGATTTACATAAGACTGAAGGCTGAGTACATTGGACAATGAATTAATAAATAAGAAAATAGGATGTTATGGGCATGTTATATGAACGAGTGAAAGTAGAATTTGAAACAAGGTTTTGAACATGAAACTAAAAAGAAAATACCTAAGCCAAAAAGTGAGATCAAGATGGAAAGAACAGGAATATGTTTCACAGAAGTATGGAAGAATATATGAGGAAACTGAAGACAGGGAGTCCTGGGAAGAGGCTTCACTGTAGGAAGACACATATAAAAGTGTAAACACTGAAAGATCTATGGCTTCAATATGTATTACTCAAATTAGGATCATTCTTTCGAATATTACCCATGCACGACTCAAGATGTCCATTCAGATAACAGCAGTTGTTCATTTGTCAGATGGTACTCATCTACCAAACTACACAGCGTCACATCTCGGTAGACTGTAACTGAACTGCTCACATATTACCAGTGAAACTAATATTTCCAGTGTCTCTGTTAACTCTTTAAAACATGATGGTAATGATATGTACCACCTGCTTTAACGTTAAAAAAGCTCTTCATTTTGCCCAGTTAAGGTTTGTGCTTTATATGATTCTCTCAATAAACAGCCATTACTTCCCTAAACAGCACTAACCATTTGGTTTTTGGCACTCAGAATTACTGGGTATTCTAAAAAACTAAAGAATACAACATTTCAGAAACTGGATCCGTTTCCTTCTTCAGGTGAGGGTGGAGACACCCTCACCTCTTTCTCTTAGAAAGAGCTAACCTCAGATATGGAATAACTGAGGCAAGGTAAAACAAATCTTACAATACTGTACCATGCTAAACCACTGAGGAGACTGGCTCAAGCCATTAACACTTCTGACCTGCATCTGGAACAGGCCCATTTCAAGTCTTAGCCAGAGACCTGCTATCCTAAGAATTTCTGTGGTATTCCTCAGTCCATCCATGCAGTGGCAGGGGTACTATGTCAAATCAGACCAGCACGGCTTCCTTCACCAATTCATTAGTCACTAAACATTCCAACCATATGACCCCTCCTCCAACCATGCATTCAATTAATGAACTCTGTGCAAAGAGTGAAACAGTCCAGTTTTTGCAATCTGCATTCTTCTGGCACATTCAGAATGAACAGTTGCAGAAATGCAACTATTAGTTTCATTGTATCTCTGTCTGCATGTACCAACAACACAAGAAACAACTTCTTTATTAAAACTTTCACGACACAACTATATCAATGTCAGTGCCTAGTTTTGGCTCTGCTACATGTTTCGGCTATTAATAGCCATCATCAGGCAAATACATGGCTAACATATATGCACCACTGAACTGCAGTATTAATAAAATTGGAAATAATATTAATATATTAAGATACTTGACATAAAAATACAATTAGACATATAAAAAACAAAAGTTATAGTATCAAACAAGAATAAAATTCTTCAATTGATGCTTTACATTAGGGGTCTCCAAACTTCTTGAAACGTGGGCCACATTAGGTAATTCGGCACTTTCAACGGGCCAGATAAAATGAGAAATTAATAACTCTAGGTATATGAGTTTTATTGAAAGCACAGAATTTCATAAACTAAATATAAAGTATGTGAGAATAAATTATCGTATATTAATGACAACAGACAGTACCAGCAAATGCTCATATTTTCATCACAAATTATAATAAAACAATTAATGTGAATGATGGAACTCTTTTTGCATTCTTGAAATCTGATTAAATTGAGGTGATGATGATCTGTTACAATTACACTGCACCACTGCAAGAAGTCCTGTGCACAAGACGGCTAGTAACGAACTGCTTGCGCTACCTACATTGCCACGAACTGACACTGCCAATCGAGGCCGATCAAGTGCGAAGAAATACCGCGCAGTATACAGTCAGAATTAGTAAAATTGTGAATATTAGTATTGTCGCGCGTTGGGCGTATATCGCGACAAATAACTTCTCGATGTATTTGATGTAGCGAATTTTATTTCACATTCGCTCATACAATCACCCAAATTACAGATTTACGATTACTGCTATCTGCAGTATCACAATTAGTACACTGAAAAATGCCACAATACA